AGCTGTATTAGCTGTGTCAGTACACACACACACACAAATAAAACACTGCATAAGTTTTTCAAATGCTGTCAAATTATCTTGACATTTCCTGCAGCTTCTGTACGACATTGGTGGCTTTTGAAGCTGTTTTCATACAATCAGTATAAGAGGCCATTGCTTCCCTGTCGGGTGGAGTCAGAGGCAGTTCTAGCTGAACAGACTAAACGGCCGGGATCATATGGTATTCTGAATTTTTTCTAATTCAAAGCCAGCATGGGTGATGATTGGGCTCAAAGTGTACAGTCATGGTAAAAAAACAAAACCAGTATGCTCTTATTCACATCTCAGGTTTCAAATATCATTCTGAAAACTGTCTCGTCATTACCAGGTCTTACAAAAAAAAATCAGCAACAAATCCATGAAACATCCTACCTCGTCATTATCAGCTTAACTAAAGCTAAACTGAAACTCAAAAGCAATGTGTGGAAAAACTACAAGGCCGATCCAATACAGCAAATCTGGATAATAAGTCCATTCTCTGATCCTGTGAGTATTACCCTGTAGGCAGTGCAGAGCTTGGACAGAGCTGAGATGTGACTCTATATTCTGGACATCTAGAATATGCTTACTCTGATAAAAACCAGCAGCCCTGAGTAGCGTTGCAGGCCTGGCATCTTACCAGCCACACCCACTGCGGCAGCTCCCGTCTTGATCGGTGCATCTAATTAAAAATTACACAATAATCAAATCACTTGAATTGCACTTGTCTAACTCTATTTTGTTCTGCTATTTAACAGGGGGGACATGGAAAAGAGAAGGGTCAAGTCCTATAGGCATGACCCAAAGAGGACTATCAGTGATTATCAGTGGTCATTGTCACTGTGGGCCACTCTTTTTATGATATTGCCGCAGCGCACAGCTTTGTTTATGCACAGCTTTCTTCAGGTCACAGAGTTTCAATGAGATTGAGGTCTGGACTTGAGTGTAACATTCACATGCGCTATTTATGTAACGCATTTGTGTATATGCACTATTAGTGAACGAGGGCCATTGATTTAAAGGTCTTGTGTTTTTTTAGATGTAGCTCTAAGCTAAGCCTGTCATTTGGAAAAGCCTTCCAAATAAGCCGCTTCAGTCTTTTACTAATTAAATTTGTGGTATGAATGTGTAACATGCTTAATGAGGCCCTAGAATTAAAATGTACCTATTTGAATTTTTGCACTTTCTCTGAGACAAAATCTGAAATCAAGCGCAATTTCTTGATTCTTTTTAAGTTATTTTTTTTATACTGAATAATGGCATTGAGTCATATGTATCTTATGTCATGCTGTATTGTTCATCTGATTTACCTATTTTTCCAACTTGCCATATTAACATTATTACGTAGTGGTACACGAAACTGACGGAGGGTGTACTTTCTTTTTACACCGTTCTTGTGTACCTCTCTATCACTCTATTTGTGGAAGGAGAGGAGAGTGATGGAGGAGAAACCCGTGCTACGTCACCTCACAGATGACCAAAATGAAAATGCTGTGTGTGCTCACACATAGTTTGCAAGAACACCACCAAACTTGAATCCCAGCCTCTCTAGGATATCAACCCCTGCTGCTTCGTGGACATGAGATGAGCCCGCAGTTCCCACCGTCTACCACCGCCACCTGCAATGCTACCACCGAGCCTGGACACGAACACGTAAGGTAGCGCCGCTACAATTAGACACATGAACCAGGGGCTTCATAGTCCTAAGACTATGCTTTCTCCTCACCATCTACTAGCCATCCTGTTTTCACGACTCCTCAGGACAATCTGGCACGGAGTGCTAACAGTGACCTTGGGTCTTTGATTCCAACATTTTGCATTTCTGTTCAGGACTTTCTTTGAAAGTAGGAAATCATTTATGTTTTTCTGAATTAATTATCTTTAGTTCTTTGTTCCTTTTGGTGTTAGTTCCCATTTGTGTCCACTCTGTCCTACTCTCACCTCCGTGTCCTGTCATGAGTCTCTCCATGTTTTTTTTACCTTCAGTCTCTCTACTCAAGTCCCCGTTGTCATGTCTCTGTGTCGTCTGTCAATGTGGCGTTCTGTGTTCTCTGTCTTGTCAAGTTCCTGTCTTTAGTTCTTGTCTCTGTGTTTATCTCTTCCTGTTACTGTGTCCATTTCTCTGTGTTTTGTCCTTTGGTCCATTAATATTTCTTTGTCAGTCTACTGTGACTCATCTTCCACCAGTGAAATTACAACCTTTACATGCTGGTTTCCTGTATTGTTAAATAATGAATTAAGTTTGTGTGGAACCATCCATAGATAGCTATATATTATGAAATTATCAAATCTATATGTCATAATATTCTGAGTAACATTTATATTTAAAAATTGAATTAATATCGCATTATTCAAACTAAAATCGATTCGAATCAGGAAATTGATACATACAAACCATACACGACAGCAGCTCTCACTGCCATCTTGTAAACCTTTCCTTTCTCTCTTGCTGCTATCCTTCTGTCACAGATCACCCCTAAGACCCGTCTCCATGTTTCTTCACCTCTCTTGTGCTCTTGTGTCTGTGGCTTTGGTAGGTCAACCCTGGGTAGGTAACTCATCTACCTTCTCTATCTCTACTCCTTGTGTCTTTGCTGTTTCTTTCATGCTAAGACAGAAATTAAATAGCATACTTTCGGCATTGATGAGTGACTATGTTCAGTTTTACAATACTAGTGTACAAACCCTTACACACAGTTTTATATTATCAGATTCTGCAGACCAACACCACCATGTTTGTCTCATAAGGACAGGAAAGAAGAGAATACGCATGTTTATTTTTTACAGGTTTCTATACTGAATCGAAATAGGTTTCATATCCATTCATTTATAAATATTTGGTGAAAGCACTCAGAAGTGCATCTGCTACTGACAGTTAATGAACAGGAAGTCAGCAATTAAAGATAGAATGCTAACACGCTAATTCAAAGCATCAACTGAAAGTTGGAGATGCCCAGAGGCTTCATGTACGATAGCCATTTCCACCTGATGTACTTTCAAGTACCTTCTGCTCATCACCTTGCACACTGAACAGCTACTGACAACTCAGGAAAAATGTAAAAATTCATTTATGATCCAGTTTTAAGTGAACAAATACAAAATATTGTTTTTATTCCAGAATTTCTACTTTCAGAATTTCAGATTAGTGAGGCTAGTCTGAAAGTGGCCAAATTCTTCATTGAGATAAATTAGAAAATGTAAAATGCAACGATTTACAGGATTGGTACTCAGTAGTAACTGTCATGGAACCATGCTTTTTAACTGCCCCGACCCAAGGGCAGGCACTGATGACAGCGTAGCATTGAGGGAGTTTATTTATAGTGCAGGAGCATGGTGGGGACTTAAACTAACAAAACCCAAACTGGTAGAAACTAACAAAAGAACATAAGGAAAGTAGAAAACATTACAAAAACTGGAATGCCGGGAAGGAGGAGCCTGAGACATAAATACAGAGGATGATACAGAGGATGGCATGCAGACAAACGAGCACAGGGCTTAAATACACAGAGGGATAGCAGGGGAATGAGACACAGGAGGAGAGCACAGCTGGGAGTAATCAAACATGATGAGACCAAGGGGAAGCAAAACTGAAAACATGAACATAGGACAAAGTAAAACAGGAAACATAACACAGAGACGCAGACTTGACAAGGGGAGACAGAGCTAACAAGGAACACAGAGACAGAAACCAAAAGACTAGAAATCACCAAAGAACTAGGGAGCTAGAAATACAGCAGTCCCTCGTGTATCGCGGGAGTTACGTTCTAAAAATAACCCGCGATAGGTGAAATCCACGAAGTAGCCAACTTTATTTTTTTACAATTATTATAGATGTTTTAAGGCTGTAAAACCCGTCACTACAGACTTTATACACTTTTCTCAGACAGGCAGGAACATTTTCAAATTTTTCTCTCTTGTTTAAACTCCATCCATCCATCCGTTCGCTTCCGCTGATCCTTTTCAGGGTCGCGGGGGGCGCTGGAGCCTATCCCAGCTGTCATAGGGCGAGAGGAGGGGTACACCCTGGACAGGTCGCCAGTCTGTCGCAGGTTTAAACTCTCAAAGTTCAAACCGTAAAGTTTTTGTAGTCCAGTATTATAGAAACCAAAGGGCCCCACGGTTGCCTTAGACAGTGCAAAACGATTCGTCAACATTGTTGTTTGTTGGGGAGAAAACTTACAAACATACAGTACAGCACTTCAGAATCACACTGCTAGCAATCACAGATTTATGTAAATCTGACAACCTGAACGCACCCTGTACTGTACAAGAGACACGGCATGGAGGAGATTGATTGACAATGCTCCACAGCCAATCAGGACGCAGAACACAATGCGCTGTAAAAAACAAACAAACAAACAAACAAACAAAAGCATGCAAAATCGCACAAAAAAAATAAATCCACAAAACAGCGAGGCTGCGAAAGGTGAACCACGTTATAGCGAGTTACCTCTGTACTGCAAACCAAAATCAAGAGACCAGCTGTGAAAACGTTTGATGAAATTAGAGATCAATGATAGTACAAAACTCAAAGCACTGGTTCGCAGTCCCAGGAAAGTAACAGTCTGTGCTCTGCAGGAATGTTACGACTCTACAGACAGGGACATGCTTAAAGAGACTTGTGTGGATGTTTCAGACATGCATACTGGTGTCATACTCAGAGGTGGGAAGGAGCAAAGTACAAATACTTTGAAAAATACTTTGTTACTGTAATTAAGTAAAATTTTAAAACTTTACATGAGGAGTGCCAGTTGTCTGGATTAAAATCATTTTCATTAATGTTGTGGTGCAAGCCGTAAAGGCACCTTTTTCACAGAAGAAAAAGAAAAAACAGTGTCTTTGTCCATCGCTCTAATAAAGCTAACACAACAAAGTGTGTGGACAGCCCCAGGGAAAGAAGGCTCTGAAAGGTGCTAAGAAACAAACCCGCACTGCAGCACACAAAGCTAAACACCTCTAACCTGTAAGTAATGAAAAGATACGTCCGGGCACCACAGGCTTCCTGTTGACCAGTGCGAAGGACAGCTCAGTCTGCAGGAACACAGCCGAGAGCTTGATGAGATGCTGTCCGAAGCGTAGAGTCGCCATGTGTCACTGACTGCCAGGCCTGGAAGAAATGCAGGTGCAGCAGGTTGTCAGTAACATCACACTAAACAAAGCTTCTGTTCACTGGCTGTATTTATGGTCTGTCCCAGGCAGAGCCCTCTTTTTGTGGGCTCTACCAGAGTCTGCTTTGTAACTGAAAGGCAATTTTCCAGCTGTAATTTTCTCACATTTTGTTTGGTTCTATTTTGTGTGTTGATTTGTAGGTATTTGAGTATTTGTTGATTAATGATAAGTGGGATGTACTGTGGCATAAGATTTACCGCTAAGTTTAACTTTGTTTGCTCCAGATGTGGTAGTTGTGTAGTTGTGGTAGTGTACACACAGGGCCAAACCTCGGCTTAGCTATTCTCTGAGTGCACGTTCAGAGCTGAGCTCCATATATTTCTGGTCCTCATTAATACTGCTAGTCTGATAAAACAGAGCTGAACTTAACTGAAGTTAAAGTGGAGAATTGTAGGCAGTGAAAGATACGTCTTTTTATTGTTTATTACAAACAGCCAGAATAGGTTTCATGGTGACTCATGTTCTTTTTTGAACAGAGCACACACACAAAGCCACTTTCTTTTTATGCTGTCTAATATTGTTACATACCAGTGAAAATGTCCATTAATATACTGATATTAACTCGGAGACATGCATAATGTGTTCAATCAATTTCTGAATCCCACAATATGTAATAATGACTTAAATATGCTGGAGCAGCCTGATGTGTACGTTTAAGGTGGCACATGCATTCATTAATGCATGTGTGGTTCAGGATCTGACAGTAAGTATATGTTCTGCAACATGTCAACGGTAACACTTAGAATTCAGTTGATATTCTTTTTTTTTTTTAGTGGAATAATTTATAATAAATCAGCCCTCCTTTGAATAAATAATGCGTTTCTCCTGTGTTGTTGGATTGATCCAAAGATCACTCCAATTTACACATTGATCCACACACTAATCCTGATATAAGAGCATCTGTTGTATTGTTGGGAGGTCAGTGATCCCTCAGCTGCTGTTCACTGATCTGAATTTCCTTTCTGTTTCAGCACAGAAAGACACAAATAATAATATGCATTATTAACCCTTATTACTTTGGTTAGCAAGTTTCATTGGTTTGTTTTCACCCACTTATTTGCTCCTGATACACTGATGACCATTATTTAAATGAACTGGCTGCATTTTTCTATAAGATGTGTATTTCCTTACCAATCCCAATGGTCCACTTCTGAAATGTGTGTGTGTGTATATATATATATATATATTAGGGGTGCAACAATTTTCGTATCGATATTGAACCGTTCGATACAGTGCTTTCGGTTCAGTACGCATATGTATCGAACAATACAACATTTGTAATTTATTTTATCAACTTTCCTTCTGACGATGCTGTCTGTGTTGAGCGCTCAGTGAATCTGCGTTCGACTACTCCGCCTAGGCTGCACTGTCGAGCGCAGATCCACTGAGCGCTCAACACAGACAGCATCGTCAGAAGGAAGAGCGCAGGGCAAGCTAGCGAGACAGAAGTTAAGCTCTCCTTGCAACATGGACCTCCCCCACCCTCATTCAGTTCTGGCGTTTGGAATTATTTTGGTTTTCATGTGACGTATGACCCTGAAGGTAAGCGAGTCATGGACTAAAGTAAAACAGTATGTTGGATGTGCCACGCAATGCTTAATTACATGGGTGGGAACTAGTGTGTTAGCGCAGTTAGCTCGTTAACATGTTTGCCGTCTAGCCCCATGCACGGGGCGATCGGCGGTAGCTCGTTAACGGAGATTTGCCGTGTTGTGGCGTTAAGGTCATTTCAACGAGATTAACCTGAAAGCACTAGTGGGAACACAACGAATATGACTGTACATTTACGCCGACATCATCCTAGTGCAAAGACAAAAACAACAAGCATGCTACTAACTTTAGCCGAGTCATTTAGACAGCTGTTAGCACATGATTCTCCTTATGCTGCTGAGAATATAGCCCAGAAGAAGCGGATAGTATAGCTTTTATTTTGGAAAGAGACATTTCTCTGTAATAAACTCTCTTTTCCAAAGATGAGTGATTCCTCAATCAGATACAGGGCTCGCAAAATCGCTAGCCCGACGTCCTGGAGCTAGCGATTTTTTCAGTCGGGCTACCAAAATATCTCTGCCCTGCCCGTCGGGCTATTGTAGGAAGGAAAAATATATGTCAATGCTTTTGCATTCTTTCGGAAATGTAGCTGGGTAATTATGTCATTGGCATCGGTGAGCCACTGTCAATATGTGACATATTGAAATCACGTTTGAATTTGCGCTTGTTTTTTTGCTTTCACTTTGCAATCGTGCGAACTGTGTATAGAGAGCGACAGCACTGATCTGTGAGTGATGATAATTTGTGCACCAATTCCTCTGACATCGTCTTATTAATCGTTAGCTTACTATGCAAACATGACAAGTGAAATCTCCCGCAGCTTAAACATGTGAGAGGTTGATCGCGCAGAGAATCGCTGAGCTTATGTGAGTGAGTGTGTAAAAGCATTTCAGTTCTGCTGAGCCAAATAAGACAGGTCAGGGTGAAGAAGTGACAGCCAAAGAAAAGCTTACCACAAAACACAGAAGTTATGACAAATCAGACTATAAGGCAAAAAGAAAGTGCAGCTTTATGGTTTCATGGACAAAAGAATTTCTGTGGCTGCAATATGACGAGCTAAATAACCAGGTCTGCACATAAGTGGTCCGCAGGTGCGCATTCGCTGTCAAAATAAAAAACACGCACAAAGGTTAGGGTTAAATTTAAAAACTGTACTTTTGAGTTAAAATATATATTTATAATTTTAATAAATGACAAATTAAAAAGGCATGAACATTTTTTTTGTATCGAAAAAATATCGAACCGTGACACCAAAGTATCGAACCGAACCGTGAATTTTGTGTATCGTTGCACCCCTAATATATATATATATATATATATATATATATATATATATATATACACACACACATATATATATACACACACACATATATATACACACGCACACACATATATATATATATATACACACACATATATATATACACATACATATAATAAATCAATGCATTGTAAATAAAGACATGCATGTACTGGTGACACTGTGTGCTGCCGGTCCTTTCTACTACACCCACCTACACTCTTTCATAAAAATCTTAGCAAAGCAGGAGGGGAGCCCTGCTGTCAGTGATGAAGCAACCTGCTAATGCATAATCTGGGTAAGAAAAGAGACTTTCATTTAATTAAAGAACATCTATGACAAGACTTTCACTGTGCAGTCCCCTACATCATACTCGGCACAAATAGGAAAAAAGGTCGTGAAAAGAGAATCTTATTTAGATTCAATTTTCTGATTGGAGATAAGTGAACAATATATCTGTCAGGCACACTTATCACATCTTCAGACCAAAATTACATGTTGACAAAAGGATAAGTAGATCGCTAATGGAGTAAGTGGTAATACAAAGACTAGAATAGAATAGAAATATCCTTTATTGTCCCTCACTGGGGAAATTCAGGTGTTCCGGCAGTAAAGTGACAGGCAGATGGAGCATGCAAAAAAGTGAAGAATATTAAATTAAAAACAAGAAGTAAGAGACTGTACAGTTATTAAAAATAGCATAATCAGATAATTTTTTCAATGTAATAAATGTGCTGTATATTTGTGCTTAAAAGAACAACAACATACTTTTAAAGAAAATGGAAAAACTGTGCAAATGCCAGCAGGGATGTAAACGATTTATTGTGTTTGTTGTGAGCAGTGATGGTTACAAAGTCTAACGGCTGCTGGGAGGAAGGACCTGCGATAACGAATATCTAGTCCTTGTGAAATTCTCTCAACTCATAATGATAGTCAAACCAAGACAGTTAGATGGAAATCATTGCAATGCTCTCTTATTTAGCCAAGAAAGGGTTATGCTGTCTTTACCATCCATGTATATAACCAGTGTTGGGAAGGTTACTTTTAAAATGTATTCCACTACAGATTACAGATTACATGCTCCAAAATGTATTCTGTAACATATTCTGTTATGTTACTCAATGAGAGTAACGTATTCTGAATCTTTGAATTACTTAATATATTATCATGCTGTTTACAACTACATGAATGTCCTATTGCTGTGATTTATTACTATTACTGAAGGTTACTCTCCACACCAACACCAACCAGATGTTTAAATCTTAATATAATGAGTAACAGTAGGTGGACATTAGGTAAGGCTGCACTTTTTGCAGCGATCTCGTGTAGAAAACTATTCAGCGCGCGTATATAAAACAGGTCCGCGGCTCCGAACTGTAGTAAAGGGACCTCTGGCTAATACGTCGAAAACTAGCTTTACTTTGTTGTCTGGGTCACTTTGCTAGCGAGAGACAGAGAGAGGCGTTGAAAGGCTGCTCCAATGGAGCTTATTGTTTCAGAGGAAAACACGAACACAGCGTACAGTCGAGTTTCTCCCTCCCTCGCTCACAGACACATAACAGGTATGGCAGTCCATTCGCCCTGCAGCACAGACTACACTGCCCACCAGGCTACATTCTTTAGGGTGATGCCTGTAACACTCTGCCTATTGCCTTCATATTAAATCATTTTTTGAATAGCGGGCCCAACACTCTAAAGGAAAAGAAAGACAACGCAGGAAATTTCACACCTTGCTTTCAAAAACACACACTCCTCATTCTGAATCTACACAACCCGGAGAAGAAAACACACCTGAAGACAGTCAGGAGAAATGGGTGAAGAACTTTTCAGACAGGATTCTCACTGAACCTGAAAAGAGAGTATTAGCCAAAGGACTCAATTTTGCCATTTCCCCGCAACAGTTGCCCATAGTGGACCTCATCACAGCCACAGAATCTGCCATACGGATTAATAAATTATCACAGACAGAAGCAGAGCAAATCAGGATGAAAGTCTCAGCCACACTCTCCAGTGCCAAAGTCCCTCCATCCAACCTCACAATACAGGAAAAGAAGGCCGTTACTTCCCTGAGCAAAGACCACAAC